CGTAATTTTCCTATCGTTTACATACACGAGTATGTACTCTAACCTGCACGCCTGGACCCTCAACGAAACGATGCAAATGTTGACTTTCAAATAGATACGTGCGACAAATGAATAAGTTTGATAAGCAGCCAAGTATATAGTAAACACGCGTTTTGCTGGAAATATCATTCCAAATGTCGACTTGGATACGTACGTACAATCTTAGCAGTCTCTAAAAGAAGCGATCGCTTTTTATCCAACAAAAGGTAGATTTAAAGACCTTTTATGCCTTTATACTTGCACAAATTTCGCCGAAACAATCATCATTATCAGCACTCAAAGCGATTTGTCGTTCGAACGTAACAATGAACCAACGGAACGATTAAACTTGAGTTGGCGAGCACGAATCTCAGACTGGTGCGCAATTTTTCTCTCGTAATTAAGAAACGTTCCATGTACTCGTCGATAGCGAACGTTAATGCGTTTTTAAGACGGAAAAGAGACCGACACGAGAAATCGCAAAATCCTCCTACACGAATTACAAGGACGGATCGAAAATATTTGTTTGGTTTTAGAATCGCGTTACAAATCAACCGTTAAACTAGCAAACAATAATACTAGTAGACCGTCGTGCTGGCATCGGCATAACATCTCGTCGCGTCGTAAGAGATGGCGAATAGTACATGATGGTATTCGTTCATCGAGAGAATATAACAGTGGTTAGCGAAGCGGTGCGATGAAATAATGTTTGAGCGGCGATGTGTTATCGATTGGCCGTCGGTTATCACCGATATGGTTTCAGCGTTGCATCAACAAACCCGTCTAAATGCGAACAGAGAAAACTAATCTCGCGTAAAAACATGGCTCGTCATTGATCCTGTTTCCATCAAGGAAAATATGTACAATAAATTAATTCCGTTTGAAGACGGTTGACGGTTGACGGTTTGAACAGTAGTGGTGCCCCTTTTGCAATGATATCGGAGGAAATGTACCGAGTTCCCGTCCCGGTCGGCTATTACCAAAGTACGAAAGGATGGAACGCGGACCGTATAACGAAGGAAAGGTATCGGTTGGCAGGAAATAAATCGCTATGACGAACCGAGACGATTAGTATAGGAAGAGGAAGAGTAAGAGGAAGAGAGAGAGAGAGAGAGGAGGGGGACAATGTTAGCCCATAATTTGACATCACTCGTGTTCCGTCGGTAACTCTGGCTTAATTACATTCCACGATGCTTGCCGCTGATTGTATTCTCGGACAGAGTTATGTTTCCCAAGACAACGACGAAGATGCTTTGAAAGTTTAAAGGAATTTCGCATCGAAGCGACGCGACGCGACGCGACGCGACTCTGGTTGCAAAATGCATTTACACACGCAAATATTGGTGAAGGAAAAAAATGAAAAGTTAGCTTGTTATTTTACGGACGCGTGAAAACACTAGAGCTAGAAAAATGACACGGGAAGAATAGGTCGGGCTAGCAGAGAGTTAATTTTATCCGTAGGAGGGCAAAGTTAGGTTCACCTACACCGTGAAAAGGGAAAAGGAGCTTTTACGAGGCGAACCGTCTGTGCAGGCCGCGATGAAAAAAGCCTGCTCATCGGAGCTTGCGACGACGGGAAACCGAAGCGATCGACGGTCATCGAGGCTTGTCAGGCTTCTGGAAGCTTTGATCGCTCGGCCGGATGCGGTTTCTCGTTAAACACAGAGAAACTCGTAACAGACGAGGCTGTACTTGCAACGAAAAAGGACACACGTTACGTTTATTATACATATACATGTATTTTTCTCTGGCACCGCGAGTCTACGCGAGTCTCCGCGATAAATATTATACATAGTAGTGTGGTAAACATTCCGGCACGAGGCTCGAGAGAAAATCGAGCTTTTCCAGCGTTGGAAATCGTATCCCGAAAACATGGCCATCCTCAATCTTCGACACTCAATCAACATCCCAATTTCAATCAGGGACGCTACCTCTTTTTATAGTTCCGTCCAGATATTTATTTTCCTCGGATCTGGCTTCACTGATTCATCTACACCTATACTATCGATGAACAATTCATTGAAATATATCGCCTCTGTTTAGAAATTCATCCCAAGTTAAACGGGCTACCCTACAAATATCTAGCGACAAAATCTCCAAGCCAAAGCGGATCATTTCTTCTGGTTCCGAACAACATATTTATCGCAAACTTGTATTCGTTTATCATCTTCTTTTCTCAAGTCCGCCATCTATTCCCCAGTGTCTACGGGCTGCGTTGTCACAAAGAAACGAAGGCGAAGCCTCCGTCCGATGACGGAGAGTAAACGAAAATGTCGAGTTAAATTGCTCGTCTCGCGTCCTGCCTTCCATCCTTAAAAACTGTCAAGATCCGGCAAATGGTTTGCCGTGACTATGCGTTTTTATTTCTGTCTCCATCTTCTTTTTCTTTCTTTTTCTTCTTTTTTTTTGCGCAGATAAACGATCAAGAAACTCGAGGTAGTACGAAAGCCAACATTGAGCCAACGAATGAAGAAAGTTTTCGTTTAATACTAATAGCTTGGCTGTAGCATATCGAAGTCAGTCTTGCACAGTACTATTAGTTATACAAACTCGGCACGTCTCTCTGCGATAAGACTAACGTTGCGTCGGCCTCGTCACACGCACAACTAACGCACAATTAATCCGAGTGTAATTCCAGCCGCGCGTCGCGTTTTCTACTAGTCCAGCTGGTGGCACTGATAAACAAAAGAAAATGAAGGCTACGGAAAGACAAGGAAGCGACCGTAATTAGGGTGTCTCGCGACGCGACAGATGCTTTGGATGCAAAACATCGAGACGCGGCTATTACTCGTTTCACGTAAACGAATTTCGAGAAATTCAGTCTCGTTAGAAGACTATGAGAGAATCTCTTTCACGAGGCTTTACGGAATAATAAGAATTTCATCTCGCTCGTTTGGTCGCTCGAATCACGACACTGTTTAAAGCACTCGGTACAAGAGCACAAGAGGAAGAATATTATCTAATCTATAAGTGACATCGATACGCTTCTAGGTATCTGCGCAAACGGAAATGGAAATTCAGCGGTTTCGCAAACCGGAAAGGAACAACGAACTGGTCTCTTGTAATACTGGCATTAAAATTGCAAACCGTGCAACGGTGGATTCACCAATATTTTCATCTTCTTCTATTCCATTTCACCACCCTCTCTCAACGACTATGATTGTCCGCAGAGATGTTGAAGTACTAACGTCGAGACAGTGTTCGAGCGACAATAAATGAAAGCTGCCGTTAGTCATGGAAACGCGACTGCGGATGCGTCATATTAAAATCCAGCATTGTTCGTCTCTTGTATGCAGACAGAGACAACGTCGGAAAACCGAGTTACAGCCAGGAGGGAACGGAAGAGAGTGAAATCGAATGGAGAGGTGGTACACTTTGGTATAATACATACATATATGTACAGGTTGATCGCGTCGTTATCGTCTCATACTTTTTCCTTGCAAAACTATAATAACAATGATGAAACGATGAATGATGACAAAGAAAGCAAAAACAGCAAAGGGTTGTAGGCCAATTAATAAGTTACCGCTGTATGAGAAGGTATTAGAGTTGGTAGTAAAGAGTCAAATAGAGAAATATCAGGTAGCAAATGAGATTATAACAGAGCATCAGAGTCGGACTTTAGAAAACAATATTTGTGTAAAACGACGATTGAAATCGTGGTTGATTAAAATAAGTGAACGAAGGGAAAATCGTTGGAGTAATCTTTTTGGGCCTGGAGGTTCGAGGTGATTCAACTTCACTAACACCTTTTTTATAATTACTTCCTTTATAAGAATTAATGTCCGTTTATTTGGTTACAATTACACCTGTAAGTTTATCGCACTTACAATAGCTCTCTCTCTCTCTCTCTCTCTCCTCTTCTCACCAGTTATTTCTTAAAACTGCCAGTACAATCTGCACAAATCTACCGCAATAATATATCACATGAATCGATAACAAGAAGAAAATATCTTGTTAAATAAGTTTTCAGATAAAGCATATCAGGCATATTAAGCATAATAGCTAAGATTCGCTTTCTTCTTTGCTTGAACCTCGTTGATAGCTTCCATTAAATCTTCGTGTGTAACTGCAGTCGCATTAGTACGTCTCAACGCTATCATACCCTATAAAAATAAATTTCTATTATAATACTAAAAGAAAATGGTGATTCGTAAATTTAGTTCACGTACAGCTTCTACGCATACGGCTTTGCATTGGGCGCCATTAAAATCGTCGGTAGATCTGGACAATTCATCAAAATTAACATCAGGAGACATGTTCATTTTTCTCGAATGAATTTGCATTATACGCGCCCTGGCTTCTTCGTTGGGATGCGGAAATTCAATTTTTCTATCGAGACGACCAGATCTTAACAATGCCGGATCTAATATATCAACACGATTCGTGGCTGCTATTACTTTGATATCGGCAGTTGAACTAAATCCATCCAATTGATTCAATAGTTCCAACATGGTACGTTGTACCTCCCTATCACCAGCTTTCTCAGAGTCAAATCTTTTCGTACCGATTGCATCTAACTCGTCGATAAAAATAATTGCTGGTGCCTTTTCCTTGGCAAGCGAAAACGCATCTCTTACCAATTTTGCACCATCTCCGATAAACATTTGAACAAGTTGTGGACCAGCTAGTTTGAGAAAGGTAGACTTTGTCTGGGCTGCGCAAGCTCTGGCTAGCAAAGTTTTGCCAGTTCCCGGTGGCCCGTACAAAAGTACACCTTTAGGAGGTTGGATACCAAGGTTTACAAATTTCTGTTTGTGCGTCATAGGTAAGACAACGGCTTCTATTAATTCTTGAATTTGTTTGTCCAAACCACCGATGTCTGAATATTGTTCCGTAGGTCTCTCATCCACTTCCATAGCTTTGACTCTCGCATCATATTCAGCAGGCAACGTTTCAAGAACAAGGTAGCTGTCTTTGTTGACACCTACCAGATCTCCAGGTTTCAGGGCCTCCGCATCAACCAAACCAATCACAGGTAGAAAATATGTTTGACGTGTGGAAGTTTTAATAACCGCACATTTGCCTTTCCTTTGAGCATCCAAATCAACAACTGCGCCGTCTTCTTGTCCCATATCTTGAGGGTCGATGTCTAACAGCTCTATGACATTAGCCACCAGATAAGGTAAAGTTTTGTTTACTTTAATCTTTTCTGTATTTTCCTTAATTTTATTATTTTCTAACTGAACATCTTGCTCGATGCGTATTAACTGGGTTTTCATAATTGTTATTTCGTTATATAACACACGTGTACGCAACCGAATTTGATCCAATGACATTTTTGAAACATCATCACCCAAAGTCTCCTACGGATAAATACAATTAAAATTATTAGCTAGTAACTAGACTACAAATTATATACATTTACGGTATATACAAATATTAATGCACTGTCCACTCGGAAGGTAGATTTTTTGTTTAATTATTTAATTTTATTAATTCTAAATAACAAACAATTTCTCTAGTCGTTCGTTAAACAATAATTTCATTCCTATGAAGTAGTGGTTATAAACATTCGCAATACTTATCAGTAATGTTTACAATGTTAACGGGCAATGCTTATCTTGAAAATATTAAAAGGACAAGAATAAAACCATTTTAAATCGAATATTAAACGTTAAGAAAGGCAACTTATAACATAAAATACGTAGAATTATTGAATCTTGAGTTGGTTTATACGCGCTTGTCATTCTACCCTAACCCTAACTTTCCTAACCATGTACAAAATGAATGCGAAGTTTGTACCTCTCCCCAAAGAGCTTTATCCTCGAGACCGGACATTTATTATAATAATTTCGTTATCCTTCTAATGTAAGAGCTATGAAATGTGTAAGGTTTTGAGAGTTTTCTGGAATTTTGCTCACTAGAGTCAACTTTATAACAACACACCTTCTATTCCCTTCAATACGTTTGCAACAGTGAGCAAGAGTGAGCTGGTGTGAGCCGGGGGCGAGCTGGAGTGGGAATAGCACAGGCGACATAACGGCATAACCTCATCGAATCTTGTTACTTTAGGTTGCTTTAGGACCTCAAGTTTAGGTCGTCGGTAAGAAGGAAAAGAACGTGCGTTATTCTTTTCCCAAGATTATGGTAAGCAATTTTATATTTATAAACAGTCTGAGATTGTAGTCCTATCTGACATACATAATATTTCGTAGGGAGAAGAGGAAGACGAGCGAACAAATATACGAAGGTTGTGGGATGTGGCACGTAAAACAAGGTTATTGCTATTTCGACTGTTATCGTTGGTTTCTTTATGAGAGAAGAGAAGTAATCCAACATAATTTCAATTTTGCAGGAAGAAAAGAAAGATAAGTGATCGGAGACGTTAGCGGAGGTTATCGGATGGGAGATGTCAATCGAGGTTATTCCTTTTTGAAGTGAAGTTTTTTTTTTCTGTTCAAGATTGTGCCCTAACCCAGACCTAACCCAGACCTAACCCAGACCAAACCCAGACCTAACCCAGACCAAACCCAGACCTAACCCAGACCTAACCCAGACATAACCCACACCTAACCCAGACATAACCCAGACATAACCCAGACCTAACCCAGACCCAACCCAGACCCAACCCAGACCTAACCCAGACATAACCCAGACCTAACCCAGACCAACAGCACCAATAGATTTCCCATTCCCCGCCACTAGAGGGATATCAGCGTCAAACAAGCGACATTCTCGCAAGCGCTCGAGCAGTCTCCTTTTCGTATAAATACAACTTCCAAATTACCTTCCATTGGGGCCGCGATATGACCGATTGCTACATTTGGCCGGTGGTGCTCCATTTTCGCCAGTGATGCTTCATTTACATCACGGTCAGCGAGGGATATCTCTCCGAGTATTAACTCTGTAAGGGTTATCTCTGCGAGGGTTATTTCTACGATGGTTATCTCTGCGCGGGTTATCTCTGCGAGGGTTATCTCTGCCAGGGTTATTTCTACGAGGGTTATCTCTGCGCGTGTTATCTCTGCGAGGGTTATCTCTGCACGTGTTATCTCTGCAACGGTTATGTCTGCGAGGGTTATTTCTGCGCGGGTTATCTCAGCGAGGGTTATTTCTGCAAGGGTTATCTCTGCAACGGTTATGTCTGCGAGGGTTATTTCTGCAAAGGTTATCTCTGCGCGGGTTATCTCGGCGAGGGTTATTTCCGCGAGGGTTATTTCTGCGAGGGTTATCTCTGC